CACTACACATTCCAGGGCAGGGGAGCATACGTGGAACAATTGTAGCCATCTCAAACACAATTAGATCCCAGGCTGAGCACAACACGTTCCTTCCTTACACTGCCATTCAAACTGAGCTTCCAAAACCTGTTGAAGAATGATGAGTGCGGCTAGGCTGGCTGCACTTGCTCCACGGGTCAGGGGATCGGAGGGGCAGGTAAACCACGCGCAGCCCAGGGCGCTTCCGGGCTCCAGGTCTTTCCCCAGCTCTCCAGATAGCCCTCTCCTCCCTTCTTTCTTTGCCTTTCCTTCCTCCCTCCTCACGCACAAATATTTCCCTCCCTCTCCCTCTCCGTCATCCTCTCCCTTTCTCTCCTTTATTATATGCACATAAATCTGCAGAAACCATGCGCATTGCATATCCGTGAAAATATACAAATTAGGGGTAGCTCATCCCGTGCTTTGGCGGTTTGTGTTACGTAAGAATTGGGGGGTTGTACGTCTAAAAACTTAAGAGTCTCCTTCCTGGGAGAGAAGAAAGTTGTATATTAGGTAAAAATAAGATAGAAAGTATATTTGGGGTGTACAAAGCTGGCTTGACTTTTTTCTCAGGCTGAATCAAACCCCACTGACCCTCCCCAATGCCATATCTGAAGTTTTTTTAACGTTTGGTTCTCAGGAGTTACTGCTTCGTGTTTTGAGAAAGGGTCGTTGGGGTAGGGGTCAGACCAAGGTTGGTGATCTCAGAGAACACAGCTGGAGTGGAACAGACAAGACAGGGTTTCCTTAATTGGTTCCTGGCTCTGAACAGATGCTTTCAGAACCTTGGAGAGCTCTCTGGCCTCCGGACCGGCCAGCGCAGACAGATCGAGGGCTTGGGTGCAATCCGTTCCTTTCCTTCAGACAAAACGGGTGAGGCGACAGTTAAAAGAAGGGACGTTTAATTGAAAGAGACAGAGAGAAGGGCAGAGACAGCGGCAGGGGCCGGCAGAAAGGGAAAGAGGAAGACCAGAGGCAGGAGAAGGTGGTAAATGTAGTGACTTAGAGTTGACTTTGTAATATATTTATTTATTTTCCCACATCTGCTCACATACCACGCAAAGTTTGAGGAGAAGGGACTAGGTCTTGAAGAAGGCTTAGGTCTGCTTTCTATAGACTGACCCTGGTCTTGCCGAAAACAGTGTGTTTGGTCTCTGCTAGGCCAACTTATCCTGAAACATTGGGTTCTGCAAAAGAATGAGGGTCTGCGCATCAGAAAGAATTTTTAAAGATATATTTCTCCCTCTCCGTCTCCCTTTCTCTCTCTCTCCTTTTCTCTTTCTCTCCCTTTCTCTCTCTCTCCCTCTCTCACTCTCTTCCCCCTTCCTGCTTCCCTCCCCAGACATTTTATTTCACAAGACTAGAGTAATGTAGGAAGCTATAGCTGGCAATGGCTTCTTAATTAAATTTTGCATGGGCACCTGCTTTTCTTAGGCAGATGAAAAGTAAAATGATCATGATAGGAAGAAAATGGATATAGGAGTACAGTTGAGTCTAATGAGTAAATTGTCCAAAGAGCCTTACTAAAGATATAACACATGTAAATATCGGAAAACACATTGACTATAGAACTCATTTATTTTACAATGTAATGGAACACACCCAATAAAATTCAGTCCTCAAATGTCTAGAAAGCTAATATCTTTCTGTTTAGATTTAGTATAATACAAATGGATTGGTCTAGTTGGTATCATTAACTGCATGGGATCTATTTATATCAAAATAAGAATAGCATGTATATAGTGTGTTATATAGTTTAAAGCCTTTTTATTTATGTCATCTCATTTACTCTACAAATTATCATGGAAACTATTGGAAGGTTATAAAATATAAGTTAGACTTGTTTTTTTAAAGCCTCTCTACCCTTGAACAAAAAACTGTCAGTGTTTTGTCAACATTAAATGCTTATTTATAAGATGTATTACTAGCTTGTGAAATTTAGATTTTTGGTCTGAAAAACATCTGCAGAAATATTTTTTTCTTAAATAGGATTGAAGAATGTGCTGCTGAAAAGAAAAGTAAATAACCGCAAAGGACAAGGTGTTCAAAGGTAAGACTACCTTACCATGTGGCTATAAATAAGAACGCTGGTTTGCTTGTAGATAAAGAGGTTCAAGAAGAGAACATGGATTTTCTTTCTCTTCTCATTTTGGCTTTGGACTTTATGTATGTTAATAAAAATATAAATCTTGAAGAAGTAAAATAAATGATAACGAGTAAGATAATTACACATCATTACTCTGCTTTTATAAAGATATCTATTCACTCATAGAGTTTTTACAGAAAAAAACTCATACTACAGAACCATGATCACTACAACTGTTCTAGAACAGCAAAATAAAATCTCAGCAAAATGATCCACTGGTGGAAACACGTTTCAAGTTTTAAGGTCAGTCCAATATAATTCCAGAATACCTGACTGAGAAGTGAAAGAGCTGTTATCAGGCTCTTGTGCCTTTCTGTGTCCACTGTAGACCCAGTGGAGCCTTTTGAGTGCAATGGCCTTTAGATTGGACTTGGATAAGTGGTCTAAATGGCCCATGTGGCTGTACCTTGTGTCTTTCAGTGCTGGCCCTGTGGAAAAGTGGCCCTAATGGGAACTTCACTCTCATTATCTCAGAATTATTTTGAGGGAGAGAAAGGCAGTATGAAAAATTGAAGAATATTTCAGAGTGAATAAAGAGAACAGGACCCGGGCCTGGCCTCACAACTGACTCATGCATACAGCCCTGGGAAAACACTCATCCTTCCTGTGCCTCAATTTGCTGCCTCTCATCTCTCAAGGAGACCACAGGACAAATAGTGTAATGTCAGTTGTGTTCTTAGTCTCATGAGAAAAAAATACTTCTGTTTTCATGGCTATAAGCATTTTTACAATAAACACAAAGTAACTGCATATATTTTATTCAGCTGAAGTTCAGATTTCTAGCAAATTGATACTACAGAATATTGGTACACATAGTGATCACAGTATCACACTATGGATTTGTTTGCCTGATAAAGCACTTGTTCAAGGGACTCTCAGCATTTGACCACTCTCCTGCTGTAAATGCCTCCTTCTGATGCCCTCCTTCTGTGGCTTCTCGAGTGTCTCCTAATCCAAGGGTCAATGGAAGGCACCCTGTGTCCCCATTCAACTCTGTAACCATTATCTCCCGAGTACTTCAAATGAAGTTGATGTTTAAAGGGAAGTGTAAGGTACTAGTTAGGTTAGTTACTTACTATTAAGTATTTATATTAAGAATGTTTATACACTGTTTGTTTAACATACTACTTTAGTATTTCTTGCCCAAAATAGTAACCCCTGAGGCCATACATATTCCTAGCCATATAGTTATTTGGAATTCACTTCTTTGTAGCCATTGTCCTGCACATCATCAATGCTTTAAAAAAAAAAACATTGAAAGAAGGAAGTGATAAAAAATGAGGGACTACCCAGGCCATCAACCGCATCAACCCCTGTAAGACTCTGGGCCAGGAAGTTTAGAGTTCAGGAGATTACAGAGATGAACAAGATAGAAAAAGTCCCTGCCCTCATGGAGCTTATAGTCTATCATGTGTATGGTCTGTCAGACCACAAACAAAGTACCCTTAGAGTATCAGGTAGTAACGAATGCTATAAAGGGAAGTGGATATGGACAAGAAGACAGAGAGCCGTAGAGCACTGATATTTAGATATACTAATTGCAGAAAACCACTCTGAAGAGTTTAGGAGGAGAGCTACAGTATGATGTTTTCCTTCCAGGTGCCTCTGAAATACAAAAGATGTGCTGTGTTGCTAAGGATTGAATATTCATTTAACGTACTACTGTGAATTCAAGTGAGATAGTTGCTATAGAAAGATATTAAAAAGAAATTATGGATGGATGGACCCTTCTTTAACAGCTCCTTAAATGACCTCCATAAAGAATGAAAACAACTTTCTCTTCATAGGGGCCCAGAACACCCCACATGGGTATTGCTTGTGTTCCACCATGATGCCAGGTCCATAGGGATGCAGCAGGCTCCAGTAAGCAGCTATAAAATGGGTGCCAGTTTGGACTAACTTAGATACATCAGGAAATGCTAGTCACCCCTGGTCATGTATCTCCTGGAATGTTAAGGTCTTTCCTATAGGAAGCAATCTGCTAAGATCTGCCCTTAACTGTAGTCATGGATTTGCCATTATTGGTATTGCTGCTGCTACTCAGCCATTGAAACACAGCCTCCAAGCTCTAGTGAAACCTGCTCAGTAAGAAAATGCTGAGCCATGGTGAAAGCCTTTGCCTGACCTTCCTCATGTGTCTCAGTCCTAGTTCACTGTGAACCACTTAAGAATTGCCCATCTCTTAAAGTGACTTTATGAAATGATCTCATGTTTCCTCTTCCCAACACCAGAGGTGGCACTTGACCAAGTATATTCCAAATAAGTATAATATTCTCTGTATTGGGAAAAAAATGTTTCTGAAGTCTCTAAAGTCTTGTAACTGCACAAAACCATTATTCTAGCATGTTATATTTTAAAACTCATGTCCTTAAAAGTGGTCATTTTCCTCTAAGAGTGAATCACAACCAGTTATATCTTTGAGAAGATGTCTGAATCCTCTCAGATACTCAGAGTCTACTATTTTGGGTAACTTACATGATACTGAAGTAATGCATTTAAGCAATATACAAACATTCAATCTATGTGATATCAAGTAACTACTATAATTAGTAGCTTACAAATCCCTTTCACCTGAAGCTTCATACATACTGGAACTTACTAAGAGTTTGGAAACTCAAGTCATTGAGGGTACAGAAGGAGGTAGGAAATCGGTTATTCATCCAACAGTAAAGTAACTGACTCATTCTGTAGTTTTATAGCCAAAAATATCCTAGAAAACTACAGTGGGAAGTAATTATAGGTCAATCTGATCCAATCATCTTATTTTAAGGACAGTGTTACCATAGCCCAAAGAGATCAATGAACTTGACTGCAGTCTCATGAAGCGTAAGTTACAGATCAGAGTCTGGCATTGGAGTCCATTCAGTGCTCTGTGCATTAGCCGGAGGCGAGCCATGCTCTCATTCCTGCTTGGACCCCTGGTGGAGAAAGAAAGGCTCTTCAGGGTTCCTCTTCCAGAATGCATCCAACATTATAAATTCCATCCTGACTTAGAGTACAGGCTCAAGGCTCAAAAGGGTTTGTTTTGTGATATTTGCTATGTCTTTTTTATTCTACCCATTTTTTTTAACAAAGTTGAACTACTAATTCTCAACTTATAAAGCAAAAGAGTTTCCTAAAAGCCAGCTGTGCAGGGATTGAACACCATATGTCCATGGTCCTGTTCTGCATCAAAGCTCAGGAAAGGAGCTAGAAGAGGCTCCAGCTCAGCACTGAGGGAAGATAACTCTCACTGTTGCTATGAGGGATGTTTTTATCCCTGTTTCTGTTCTTTTTTCATGTTAAAGTCTCTGATGCTTTTTAGAAAACCAGATAGATAGATAGATAGATAGATAATGACTATGTAAGTATATGATTTAGTCCTTGTTCCTGATTACTGTATTAACTGTCATCTTTCACCTACTCCCTGACTCAGCTCACAGCAACCTTTAGCAAAGATGATTTTTCTATGCCTCAGTTTCCTCAATGACAAAGCAGAGTTAGTAACACTAAGGGCCTCTCTCCTTAAGTGAATTTTTTATTAGAGTATCTTGAAGATGCCTTTTAAAGTATTCTACTTACATATCACTGGTAATAAAAAGGCTCTTATTAATCATCTCCATTGTATAAGCATTTAGTGGAAAGTACTGAAGAGCTCATCCTAGCACTCAAGATGAGAAAACGAGGTAACATTCTTTTGATCTGCCAGACATTGCTGCTCTAATAACCCAAAGTACATCCTAAAATCTTCACTTGTTGAGAAATAATATTCTTCTGAATGTTTAAAAGTTTTTTAAAAAGTGCTTGGCCTCCCCTTTCTCTTCTCCTGAGCGATTTCTCTAGATGACAGCTGTGTCTGGAAGAAGGCACAGGCACTCAGTGTAGCACTGACTAGGAGCTAGAAGGAAGTGGCTATTTGTCACCATCAGTACCACCGGCTGGCACCATTTTTCTTAGATTAGACCATGTTGTCTTGAATTTGACCACCTCGCTAACCATCTGTGGCTGCAGATACACATTTATGAGATGTTCTTATGGGTTCTGCGTGTGTCCATGGGACAGGACAAGTCTGACTGTGTTTGTCCCATGATTCTGTCCAACCAAACTAAGTGGCCACATTGGGATATTTGATAGAATCATAGATCAGTGTTCTTCCTCACTGACAACTCTTCCTATTTTGTTTCTTATTTAAGTAATTGAAAATATTGAATATGTTTCTGTTGGCCTGGAATATAGCACAATACAGGTTCAGAAAACAAAGAATAAAAAGGAAAACTGAAATCACCAAAATTACTGTCCATCACTAATTCCTTCTTTTTTAACCAAGAATTATTAAATGAAATCCATAGAAAAGGCTTTCTTTCAGGATATCAACTAAATCAAATCAAGTTGAAATTTTCATCTTAAAAAGGTAAGAGCCCCAAGCCATCCACTTAGAACATGGTTTCATTCAACAATTCTCTGAACTCCTTTTTACATTAGGCATCATGGAAAATACTTAAAGGCTAGGTCTACTCTCTGCATAGCATTCTCACCACCCACATGGACAGATGATAATTGAGATATATACGCTGCTGGAATTAGTGAAGTATAAATTATTGGCCTGGTCATTTGTGATTAGTAAAGCATGAAGTGTAAGTTGCTCAGCAGTTTTTAAATAAAGCTTCTTGATAATACATTAAAATGTTAAAGGAAGATATGTGAGATCTGAAGGCACATCTCAAACTGCTAAGAATAATTCCATGTAGACTCCATGGGGGAACATGGTTAAAAATATGAGAGGAAACGCCAAGGTGCATACCAGCTGCAGCAAATGGGAATGTCTGCCTGAACCTTCAGTGTGTAAGTGTAAAAACGACTGGATTCTAAGAAAGTAAAGATTTTTTTTGTCAAAGCAATGTAAGTCTCAGCTTCTTTTCCACCATCTCTTATGAGCCTCATGCTTTTATTTTTGCATACTTTAAGTCACCCTTGCTATTTTATTCATTTACAGAGAACTAGCAAAGTGTTTTTTCTCTTAAGAGCACTATTCAAGCAGGCTGCCAGAACTCAGCCTGGTTTCCCCACCTTAATATGTTTTCTGATGCTCAGTCCAGTGCCGAAGGGGCTGAGCTCTGTGGATGTTGTCTTTCCAGCTGAGAAGAATGAGTTCCTGCAGCAATATCTGTGGGTCCAAGCAAGCACAGGCACCCACAGAGGGTGGGTACCAGCGCTATGGTGTGCGGTCCTACCTGCACCAGTTCTATGAAGACTGTACGGCCTCCATCTGGGAGTATGAGGATGATTTCCAGATCCAGAGATCACCTAACAGGTGGAGCTCAGTATTCTGGAAGGTGAGGAAAAAGTGTATGTTTGACTCTGACAGTGGAAAAAATATTTGACATAGTAAATGCTGCCGCTATAGAGAACTAAGTGGTTTGGCACTGTGTATGTCACTCATGGTAGCTCTATGTGCATCTTTCTTCCCTTAGAAAAACAGAAGTTAACCCATGGGCCAAAGAAAGCCACACAGTTGCTGAGTGGGTTAAACATGAATAGGCACAATTTCCATAGTAATTATTATTATTGCTAAGGTTATTTGTGTGCCACTGAATTCACTAACTGTGAAACCACCCATAGGCAAACATTGTATTCTTTTAGCCTACCTTACAGGCTTGGTAGGTATCATTTGACAAACTACTGCAATAGTTATTAGAAAGAAATAATTAGGTATTACAGAGAGCAAATATTAAGACATGGTAGAGTGGTCAGAATGCGAGCTCTGTGATCTGAGACTCTAAGGTGCCACATTAAACATCAGATTCTGTCAACAGATAATTAGTGAGCACCCACTGTGTGCCACAGAGCTTGAATTGCTGGAGGTTAAAGCAGTAAATAGAAGAAAATGGCCTTGCCTTTGTGGGCCTCACAGTCTGTCCTGAGAAACCACCATAAACAGATAAAGTCAAATAAATAAACAGATAAATTCCACAATGGAAGATCAGATAGTGTCAAGTGCTATAAAGAGAAATCAGCAGGGATAAGAGAACAGAGGAGACCATGTTTGGATATGCTGAGGGTAGAGAGCCCTTTGCATGAGATGGAATCTGAGCACATGCCAGGAGGAGCAGAGGGAGCAGAGCCTAAAGTTATCTGGCTGAAGGTCGTTCTAGGCTGAGAAAATAGCAAGTCCAAAAGCTCTGAAGAGGATGAGGAAGAGCTCCAGTCTGGGTGGAGTGGGGTACGGAAAGACAGAAGCAGTAAGTTCAGGAAAATGCCTACCAGGGCACAAGTGATTTCTGTAGTCTTGTAGACTGCAGTGAAGACTTGAGCTTTTACCTCAGCAGACACATGAGCCACTCAAAAATAAGAAGCACAGGAGCAATGCTAATACTTTACAAGATCCTCCTGGCTACAGTACAGAAAATAGATTATAGAAAGGCAAAAATCAAAGCAGATTAATTCAGAGGCTGTTAAAATACCCAGGGAGAGATAATGGTGGCTTAGATTAGGGTGGTATTAGTGGGGAGGGTGGAAAGTAGTCCAATTCCCCATAAAGTCTGAGGGCAAGGCTTGTCAGGATGTCCTAATTCACTAGGTTTGGAACATGAGGGAAGAGGAGTCAAGCAAGAGTCCAGACTTTCAGCCAGAGCTGTATAATGAATAGTGTTGTGGTTGTTTAGGATGGAGAGGAGTAGGACCAGGAGAAAGCAGGAGTGTGACTTTGGCTGTGCTTCATTGAAGATGCCTGTTAGATGCCAAGGTAGTGCTCTCTAGAGGCCAGTAAATGTATCGATATGCAGCTCCTGGAGTAGAAGCTACTGACACCTGAAATGTGTCAGACTAGTTGAGACCATCTAGCAAGAGAGTGTGGACATGGAAGATTTTATATATATTTTCCATTATCCTTAAGTGCTATGGTCACTGACAGAGAATATTATAAGCATTCATGTAGACCCAAAATACTGGTGGTTTTGTGATTGTGAAGCTGTTGAACACATCCAATAAATGCATAGTTATGAAATTCTCAGTAAATCACCAATTGTCCAATTCAGATTTTAATGTTTTCTCCCTCCTATTTTACACAAATAATACCCCAAAATTTTATTCCCTATAGTACTAAACCTGTTTCAGAAAAAACTGTCTGAAGTTTGTGCCCTCGTAGGGATTTGACTCCAGAAAACACTAAGTTTTGGTCCATATCCTACTCATTAACTGCTAATGCTATCAGTGTAGTGCCAAGCTGAGTATTATAAGGATTGACTGCCTTGGAGACCTTATCTCTACCAAGGAAATAAACTGATGGTTCTTGGCTTCCTCCTGGAGATTATTTGTGTATTTATTCCAGTAGGTTTATGATATGCTGTGTGCCAACAGAGAGAAAAGAACTAGTTTTTGCATGTTTCTATTATGATCCTTTTTAATGTTTTTGGTTTGATTTCAAGTTGCATCTGTGCATGGTTAAAGTTGCTGGTGCCCCTTTCCTCACTGTGGCTTTGCTCTAGGGGTCTTTGGTCTGTCCGTGGGGACTGTGCTCATCCCACCTTGATAGGACTCTGCCCTTGTGCTCTTGAGCATGGAAGGGCTTGATGAGAACAGAGACTTGAACCAAATGGGCCTGAGTTACACTGATTCTCTATCATATGCTTCTACAAAACACCTATCTCACAATGCTGTTCTTTCTGTTAGGTTAACCATTCACCACGCACCAGAGAATACCAGATATATTCTTCACCTCTAAATAAGATACAAACCTTGACTTGAAGGGGTTCACAGTAAAATAATGGAAGTGAACAGAGACACAGATTGTTACAATGCGATGTGCTGAATCCTCTCCTAGAAGTAGTCAGAGCACTTACTGGGAGCCCAGGGATTGAGGGAGAGGGAGGAGTGTGTGTCTGGTACAGGCTAAAGAGGAAGTGGTTTTCAGAAGAGAACTCATGTGCCAAGCATGAAATGATTCCCAGGAGGAAGGAATGCCTTGCCAGTTGAGGATGCTGGGTAAGAGAGTCTGGCACATTGGGGGACTCCAGACAGTGCTGTACAGCTGCAGTAACTGTTCACGGGTTCTAGAAGAGGTCAGAGATGGACTAGAAACACTGACAAGAGCCAGGTCAGAGTGAAAAGCCCTGGAATAGAAATGGCTTCAGAACTCTCAACTTGTGTACAGTGAGGACAAAGACAATAATAAATTTGAACTTTCCTCAGGAATTGAGGGAATACCTCATAACTTGGTGCCCCCCCCACACACAAAATGTGTACTATCTCAATTTCCAACTTATCCCAATGCCTACAGCTGCTTCCATCTCCAAAACTCCATGGAATTTGGTCCCATCTGCCACTCATTTTGGCTCCCTAAGATCAAACAGGCTGAGGTAGATGGGATGGGTTTTATTTTTCTTTTCTTTGCATTTGACGTTGACTAAGGCCATTCCCACTTGATTGTCCATGCAGCAGACAGCCTCAGCCTACGGGTACTAAACCAGGCTTCTCACTCCCAGCCTTCCCTTCCTCATCTCAGCATCACTCTCCTCCTTTCCTTCCCTTCACCCCAACTCAGAGGTGGCTCAGAGGATCTGAGGGAGCCTGTCCATGGGGACTGTGCTCACCACACCTCGATAGGACTCTGCCCTTGTGATCTTGAGCGTGGAGGGGCTTCATGAGAACAGAGACTTGAACCAAATGGGCTGGAGTTACACTGATTCTCTGTCATAGGCTAAGAAGAAAAAACATGGGGGTAATCTTCATTTTTTGTTTTTGTTTTGTGGTTTGGTTTGGCTTGGTTTGGTTTGGTTGATTTGGATTGGTTTGATTTGGTTTGGTTTGTTTTATTTTACAGTACTAAAGATTGAACCCAAAACCTTCATGGTGAGCTACTGCCCAGGCCCTTTTAAATTTTTTTTAATTTTTGAAATAGAGTCTCACTAAATTGCTAATTTGCCCAGGCTTGGTTGGAGCTTGCAGTCCTCCCTCCTTGGCCTCCTGGAGTGCTGAGATAAAGGCGTGTGCCGCCATGCCCAGCTTATCTCCGTATTTCGAAGTTTCTCAAGTGACACTTGAAGAAAGGTCTGAGAAGTTTGGGAGCTTAGGATGCTGAGTAGCGAAGGACCTAGGCTGGATATAATGATGGTTTGTGTCACTAAAGGAGTGAGGTAAAGGAGAAGAAAAACTTAAGAGAAATTTAGGAGGTAGAATCAGTAAGATTTAGTGATCTGTTCCCTATGAATGTGAGGAGAGACTATGAGGGTGAATGGGAGGAATACAGAGAGAGAGGAAAGGGCTCTAGGGTCCCATTTTGAATATTCAAGTTCAAGGAGCCTTTGAACATCTTTCTGTCGATCCCCCTATTTCCTGACAGACACGTGGTCTAGAGCTCAGAACAGCAGGCCAGCCTGGTGTTGGAGCCTGGGAATCATTGCTAAAAGTAGGTGTTGAAGCCACAGCCCCGGGTGACACCTGGACAGAAGGGGTCTCTGTGAGGTGGAAGAGCTGATGGGAGATGCCCCTACCCAGGCTGGGGAGCTGAGTCAGGTGTGGGGCAGGAGCCAGACCTTAGCCCTCCTAAAACTCGCTGCCACCACTGCTGCAGACAATACTACTCAGGGCTCCTGCAAAGAAGTCATGAGCAGCCAGCAGGGCTGATGCAGATGCATCCGGTCTTCACTCTCAAGGTGCTTCCCTTGAGTAACCTCCAAGCCAGATGGTTTCTATTCCATTTGCATCCAGCCTGTCCCCACAGGCAGCTCTTCCCTTCCCTGCTAATTCCCGCTTCCAACAGTCATTGCTGCTCTCCCCTTCCCAAACAGCTGTGCCTGCTGCTGCCCACTTTTGCTTAGCCTGCCGGAGGCCCCAACGGCCTTGCTCACTGAGGACCAGCAGAGAGGAGTTGGTCCAAATAACAGCCCCCACCAGCAGGATTTCAGGAACCTGAGTTCTCTTCCCTACCCAATCCTTGTTTGCATGAGCAGGGACTGAGTTTTCACATAACCTCTGCCCAAGCCAGGAGAGGCCTCAGAAGTCACAGCCCCCAGCACGGTCCCTCCAGCTGCTTTGGGGTTTGTCATATCCTGGCAAGGTCCTGTCTCACCTTTAAGTTGACCACACCACAGCATTCCAGCCCCATGACATGGCCCTGAGCAGAGCTGCTTTGCTCTCTCAGCCCCTTAAGTGATCTCCCTGATGCAGTTTTGTTTACTCTCAATTTAAAAGAGCCCTCCTCCTCTACTTCAACTTAGTACAGTCTGAAGATAATTTTTGTGATGCTCAAGACTCCCAAGTCTTTATTCCTTCCACCTTTCCAACATGGTGCCAGGATTAAGCTGGTGCATTCTGACTGCCCTATTCACCTCCACCATGGGCTCAGGTAGGTTCAGAAGTAGCTTTACACCTACCACCCCCATCTTTCCCTGGCTGCTTTAAGAGGCTTGGAGTCGCTCCGTGGCCACATGGCCTGGAGATCTCTGTGAGACTTGAACCCAGAGTCGGTGTCCACTGCACTGCCTCCCTTCTTCCTGGGATACTCTGATGGAATTAGGAAAAGCAAGCTGGGTCTGACAGGCCGGCTGCCTCCAGTTGTCAAAGTAATAGGAGTCCTGCCATTGGCAAGCCCTGTTTGCCTCTTAGCTTCCGAGTCAATTCCAAGAGTGGATTTTCTTGTAATGTGAAGCTCAGCCAAAGAGCAGACTGCACTGAGAATCAGTCACGTAGCTCCACATCCAGCAGTCTGGGGCCCAAGGTCTGTGGCTCAGGAGGATTTATGGCTCTTTGAGCCAGAAAGAGCTGTGGGGAGAGGAGACAAAAGCCAGGTCCTCATAGTCTCTTTAGAAGCTCAGGTATTAAGATGAACTGCATTCTCCTGTCCTCAGTGGTAAGAATTAGTGCCAGCTCTTGAGGAGGAAGGTAATTTAGCAACATCGGAAGGAAGTATGTCACCGTGGATATTTAAATTAATTTAGTTTGCTCCTTCAGTTTTTCCAATGTGAGTCATTTTCTAGAAGTTATAAATAATGGTTAGCTTCTGAAGGTGAATTTACTTGCCACTATTTTTAGAAAATGCATAAAGCAATCCACAATGTTATACAACTTGACTTTCCTACAGCTCTAATCTTATTTAGAACAGTTTCTCCTTTTTTTAGAAGACATCGTACTGACTCTGCTTTTCAATTTCTTTGCAATATTATGCAGAAGGAGATATGGCTGTATAGTTACATTTCAAAACATTTCTTTTGAAATTAAAATAAAATTAATAAGAAAGAAATATGCAAAATAGTAACGCTCTGGGTATATTGGATGAAAGAAAAATGGCGGGGGACAGACCTGAAGTAGAACTTGCCCATACCACCTGCTAACTATGGGGCCTTGAATAGTGCTCCTCTAATCAAAGAAACCTGTTTCTAATCAATGATATGAGAATAAAAATACTACCTCTCATAAGATGCCTAGAAAGATTGAATGAAACTATACAGAGCTGTATGCCTGGGTTACAGTAGATGCCCAATAATACTAGTTCCCTTTCCTAGGGAGATGGATTTATCAATCCATTTTCCTTCTACTGACTAACCTTCTTTATTAGTGTATTACTCCTAAAATTTACTAAATAAGTACTCATGCTTTAAATATTCAAGATTAAATGGTGTTATGGGTTTGGTTATTTTTCCAGCCTTGTTAGTCTAACAACAATGAGGTACAAGAGGAAATGAAAAATTTGTTTAAGAAATGAATAACTGTATTAAATATTCTTTGTTCCAGATGCTGAGCAATTATTTTAATGCTGTTGCTAGTGTAGCATAAGAATTTTACAAGGGGTTTATTTCCAAATAATAATAATAACTGCTTATTAAAATTCATTAATTATAAAGGTACAAGATCCCAATTATGAATGTAACTGTACTGTATACCCAAAATGTACCAATAAACTCAATAAAAAGAAAAAAAATTCATTAGCCAAATGCAGGGCTAAGTGCTTTCACACACGGCCTTTTTTAATGCTTACAACAACTCTCTGAGGTAGGTACAATTGCCATTTGTCGTTTTACATATGGGAAAATCAATGATTACAGCATTTCAGCAACTCTCCTTTCATGTTTCAAGTACTAAGGGGCTGTGCTGGTCTCCAAGACTGAGTCTGTTCTCCCAGACACACGCGTTCCAACCATCTAACAGCGTGTCACTTCCCACATCCACTTCGTTCATTTCAATAAAATTGAACCTAATGCAGTTTAGCCTCCACCTGCTACTCCTGACGTTGGGTCAGAGCGGCATCTGCATAAGCGCATCTCACACAGCTACAGAGGGGAGGAGGAGACGGACCCAGGGCTGAAAGCAGCTCCCCAACTGCTAGTCCTGCCTTGGCAACTTGCCGGCTGTGCATCTCTGTCCCCGTGACTTAAACTCTACAGGGAAGGACATGTCACACACACACACACACACACACACACGCACACACAGTGTGGTTGAAAGATACAGTGAATTTTAATTTGTAAACATTTAATTAAATAAAAGACATATTGTCATTAATCCCCTCAAAATACTCTCTCTCTCTCTCTCACTTTGAACACACTTATCCCACTGTTCTAGCAACTTTCTGAAGCAGCTCTGGAAGTCCTCTTTCATGAGTCTCTTAAGGTGCACCTGGTTGTGGCCACATCCTGAATTGATTGAAAACATTGACCTTCCATGGTCATCTTGACTGCAGGAAAGAGCCAGGAGTCAAATGGTGCCAGATACCTTGATTAAGGCAGATGAGGGCACAGCCATAATGTTTTTATGAGCCTGCTTGTCTATTGGATGACACTCAGCAGTGGCACTTGCCATATTTTTGCTCATACTTCATAAAGACATGAAAAAGATTTCCAGAACTACTTCAGAAAGTAGCAAGCATGATGGGATAAATATGTTTGAAGAAGTATTTTGGAGGGGATTAATGGCAATGTGTCTTTTACTATAATAAATTTTATTTTTAAGTACTCACCATGTTTTTTGATCTTACATCATAGGACCATGTGCTTCATGTCCAGTCATAAACTGACCAATATGGCTCCTTCCCTGCTTACTCTGAAACCGAGTCAGTAGCAAGAACTGCCAGTGTCCTCCCACCAGAACCACCAGGGACATATCTACTTATCACACATATCGATGTGTTCAACAGATTGAGTTTGTTACTCATCACAGTGAGAGATCGTGATACCTTAAGGGTCCAGTGAGAGGGAGGGAGAGAGAGAAAGAGAGGGAGAAGGAGGGATGAATTGAGAGAAACAGGCTTTGGTTAAGTGACTCAAAGAAGAATCTAAGGACATGAGAGTTCATTCTGGATTTTCAGGCACAAGTCTATGATGGGGTATTTAATTGTCTTTTGTGTGGGAAAAGCCAACTGTCATCACATAAAAGCTACAATGGCTACAGCAGAAACAGTTACTGGCATTAGCCAGGAGAGCAACTATTTGGTAATCTGTGACTTGCTCGCTGATTGACGCTGGGTAAGATCGCGCAGTAGCCTTGACTTGTCCCACTCCACGCTGAGTGCACATTCTGTGAGGCAGCTTTGCACATCATCCAGCCCCAGGTACTGCATCAGGCCAGCTTCTGGCCGTAGGGCTGCTGTTCTCATCCCTAAGATCAATGAGGCAGTGTCAGCAAAGGACGGTTTGTCCCCGCAAAACATGGTACCAACCAGAATAACTGGAGATCCTGTGCTGCAGCTTCTGGTTGGCGTTAAGATCCACTCTCTTTCTTAACTAGAAAATGAAGTAGGTTTTTCACAGAGATTTGGGGTGACTGGGAATAGTCCTACCCTGAAGACTGAGCCTCGCTTATCCATCTTGCTTCTGTCATCCTCTTCCTCTAGGTCGGACTCATCTCAGGTGCCATCTTCGTGATTCTAGGATTGACTGTTCTGGCAGTGGGCTTTCTTGTGCCCCCCAAAATCGAAGCCTTTGGCGAAGCAGATTTCGTGGTGGTCGACTCACATGCTGTGCAGTTTAACAGCGCCCTCGACCTGTGTAAGCTGGCAGGGGCCGTGCTGTTCTGCATCGGGGGCACGTCCATGGCAGGGTGCCTGCTGATGTCAGTGTTTGCCAAAAGCTACTCCAAGGAAGAGAAATTCCTGCAGCAAAAGTTTAAAGAGCGAATTGCAGATATTAAAGTCCACACCCAGCCCATTAATAAAGCTCCGGGCCCAGGGGAGACAAAGATTCCTGTCACTTTGTCCAAGGTTCAAAATGTTCAGCCTCTGTCAGCAACCTGAAGCCTTCCCCACCCTTGCTGTCCCCTAATGGCTCACACACCTTGGGAAAAGGAGTGCTGGTTGCTGAGGTGACGAGGATTTGATGGTGGCTCCCCCGGGCTGTGTGCCAAGGGGCACGAATGCAGGAGGGAGCTTATATGTGCCCGGTCCAGGTGACTTTGGGGACAGCAGTGTCACAGTCACCTGTGCACAGGCATCCAGCGGCGTTAATCAGATGCTCTGTGCCCACCGGGAGCTTCTCTTTCGGATGTTGTGACCTTGTCTGATTCCCCATGTTTAAAGTGCTCAACCATTCAGACCAGCTAACGTGGTCCATTTTGTTTTCTGATAGTTGGTTTTTCTACTCCCTCCTGTGTGGTGCTGTCTTCTACCTGCATCTCTGTGTGTGAGATATTGTCATGTTGTGTTCACGGAAACCTGGAATTCCCTGATTTTGATCTGAACCTTAGCCTTTTAACTACGTCTTACCATGATGCTCCAGAGATGAGGCACAAATGTATCTGTATTCTCCATAAATCTTTGTGTTTTCCCCAGATTGTTTCTCTCATTTAAAAAGCTAAACTTGCCAACTTAGAATTTTGGTGAAAAGAAATGATATTGGAAATATGTATTTATGCAGTGCCCAAAAGCACTGGATTTAAAAACCCAAGAAATTTTAATTCCTACTACTAACTAGCTGTGTGATTTGTAGGAATCATTTGGCTTCCTACACCTCACTTTCCCCATCTGTAAAATGGGAGTCTAAGGACCTGTCCTCTGCCTTATGTCCTCAAGTCTCTGCACCAAGGAGGTTTATTGTGTCACTGCGATAGGTTGTTTGTTTTGTTTTGTTTTGTTTTGTTTTCAGAATTGGAATCCTGCAAATCCCTGAGTTTGCACTCTTCACACTACAGACCCTGAAATATCCAACCCCAGCAGTTTATACGATGCCATCATATTTTTATAAAAACAACAGTAAGCATCCTCAAATGAGAAACCACTAGGGGATAGTCACCTGAAAAGAAGGTGTTGTTCTTGAACATGTTTTATTCTCCAGCAAAATGCCCCTCTCATGCCATGCACTGTAATTAATCTGGGGAATTAAATTAGTCTGATGAAAATGAAAGGTGTGACCTTGGTGTTCTGTCAGAGTATGTGCCACCTTAGAGTTCTATCTTTTTCTTTCTCTTTTTCCCCCCTCCTTCCTTCACTGGATAAATAAGACATGTGAATGAGACGAAGCTAAAGTTCATGGTCATCTGTCACCATGGCTGTTTTCCCTCCAAAGTGTAATTTTCCATCCTGAGACTGAATACACTCTGATGTTTCCCTGGATAAATGGAGAATAAATAAAGCAAATAGTGGCTCTGTGTGGAGTGTTTATTTTGCACTGTCCAGTGCTCACTTCGGTAGCACATATATTTTGCACTGTTCAGCATGGTATGGGGGTGCAAATCAGCATCCTACAGGGGCACTTGGCTGGGTTTTGGAGAAATTGGTCCAGTTTCCTCAGTTCCCTGCCCTGCTGTGGAAAGACTGATGTCATTGCAATCTTCAAATCCCACAGCCTTGTTTACCACACTTGACAAGTCTCCAGCTGGCTTCCGGCCTGTGTACCAGAGAATCCTGGAGAATGCACCTTGAGTTTTTAAAACCACAGTGAAAAATAATAGCTGGTGTGATCTGAGAGCCTCAGGCAGAGCATGATCCTTAGAGGTTAGTGATCCAGCATAGTTGAACAGTTTTCAAGCATTGCACTGGCCTAAGGCTCGCACCGAAATCATCAGGGACAAGGCAACACAACTGCATGCTGGGGATGGGGTTGGGAGGGGCACAACTGGACAAGACAAGAAAACATGGTATCTGGGATCGTGTCCACATTTGTGCCTGGCATGGACATGAGCCTCAGACAACATGGTGCCACAAAGGAAGAAGCCTCCAGGCCAACGTGGATCCATTGATTCCCCACCACCACTGGCCAAGGCTCCTCCTGCAGAGGCCTGTAGCTTCACAGGGCCAAGTGTTGCCCCTTTGTGAAGGGTCCATGTGGCCAGAACACCATCCTCATATAGGACAGAAGCTGCCTTTCTAACCTCTCCGTGTAATAGACAAAATCCCATAACTCAAAGTTACCTACAAATCTAACCCCTCTCATATGACCACCTGCCCCCCACACACCCACGCTGACCTGTTTTGTCATTCACAGTTTTTAATCTGTCACCTTTCTGGTTCTCTTTTTCAGGGAGACTTTTAGTAAAGCCCCCTCCTCAAGGTGTAAAATTGAATATATTAGAGATTGTCTGCCTTCCCTGATGCTTCACACAGCACCTGCTGCCAAGACACTGACTTCTAGGTGGATTAAATCAGACACACAGGCTTCAATATCACATGGCTTCTCTTAGGTAAGAAACCCAAAATGTAAATACGTAAAAGAGCAAAATTAAAGAGATACAGGTATTGGAAACAAACAGACCTTATGCAAATGAGAGATCGAGAAATGAAGGTAGGAGGGAAAGGATCATAAAAAGAATTAGGATGTGTTATGTACATGCAATAAATATAAGCATTATGTACCACAGATATGTACTAGTAAAAATAATTTTTAAAATAGTGACTTCAGAGGCTGTATGAGCAGTAAATTAGTGTCCTTTCCTCTATCCCCCTCCTGGCTCGGTTCCTACACTTGCCCAGTATCCCACATCCCAGTCAAATTCAACCCTTCTCCTCCCGCCAACTGTGCCTGCACTTCTGTGTCACTCTCTCTCTCTCCAATCACAATGCTTATTCTCCCAGCAACAACCATCTGCTCCTTGTCTGGCTTTGAAAGAATCATTCAAGGCCGAATGGAGAAATACCAGCAATAGTTTTAAGAATTCACAGAAGTGAGTGGGAGTCAACTCTGAGGCATTTTATATTCACACATTAGTCATTTAACCTTCACAAAAGCTGTATGAGGCCAGGACTGTTATCGTATACCCATTTTACAGAGGACAAGGGACAGGAAAAGAGAAAATCACTTTTCCACCGGAACCTGTAAGGACTGAAGCAAAGCACAGTTCATCTCCAAGCGTGGCTTGACTGACGTATCTTTATTCCAGTGACTTGTTGGCACGTCTATTTTTCCACTAGAATGCACACTATTAGCCACTCAGGTAGCAGGAGCACATCTTATGAGTGGTGACTCCAGGAAGCAAAGCCTAAATGTGGTAGGTTACTATTATATAGTCATTTAGCACAATTATTGCATTTCTACTCAGCTATGTCTTGGCTGGCACTATGGAAAACAAAGATTAGCAAGGGATTTGAATTTTTTGTTTCTGTGTGTGTGTGTGTGTGTGTGTGTGTGTGTGTAGCAGCCATTGAAAAGCAGTTCCATTCTTCACACTAAAAACAGACCAGACCAGATGGGTAAATTAGGAGCTTGATCTGAACCTTTCCTGTTCAGCACAGGTTTTGTGGAAGTGAATACTTGTATGGACCCTCCCAGCCCATGAAGCCGGGATCAGGAGCTATTATAGCAAATCAGAGGAAGAATGTTTTGACATCAGCCTGTGTGCATGTGTGCCATTGCTTAAGATGTATTCTGAACACACTCAGAAGCAAATACCTAGAATATACAGGTAAAACAAAAGGGAGAACTAATGCTGAGAGTATGCATAAGTGTGGTGCAGCACCAAGCTGCCTTCAAACTTACACTTGCGGGGTAGAGGCCCTGCCTGATGTCCTTAATAGTAACCTTGCTATCACTATATCCAAAGGCAGCGTCCTCCACCAGAGGAACCCAGCCCTCTGATAAGGAGCTCCCATCAGACCTGCATTCCAGCCTGAAACCCCAGGAAGAGCTGAGCTGCCCATCAAGGGCAGAGTGAACTGTCCCCAGGCTGAGCAGGAGCCTGGACTTTCATCCTATGAAAGCACAACCAGAAGCTTCAGACATCTGAGGAACCAGCTCTTTGAAAGCAGAACTACAGAGGGAATAATAAACTCCCAGGAAACAGAAGTGTGTCAGAAAATCACAGCAGAAAACACACACACACACAAATCTAATCAGCTTTCAAAAAGTTGCATCAATAAGATAATATGAGATTATGAAAAACAACACCAAATAATTTAGCATAAAAAATTACTAAATGTGTAAATTGAAAGCATTTCCTAGAAAGGTAAAACACCCTTATTTTAAGAAATGAAAAATATGAAAGAAAAGACAAAGGCAAATACCTTCAATGAAATAAAAAAAAGATAACAGTAAAATAGAGGAATATCAATAAAATAATGTAAGAAAATGTCTCAAGGGAATAGAATATAAAATAGTCATATTGGAAGTGTTGGCTGAATATTTTAAAAATGTGAATTATTTTTAAAAATATGAACCACATTTTTGAGGGTTTTTTTTTTAGACACGAAAAAAGGATCCAAGAATCTTCCAGAGAGAAAAAACTAGCTACAGAATGATGAAAATCAAACTGAGAGAAAAAAACATCATGTTATTTCATGTAATAAATGGTCAGATAGCTTTGAGTCAACAAAAACTGTTCGTTATTTTTATGAAGAAGAAAAAAAGGAAAGCAATAGAAATTCCAGGAAAAAAATTAAAAATAAGATGTGCAAGGAAATTGTGGTCCAAATATTAAACATGATGAAAAAATGATAAAATAAAAGAGGAACTATCAGAAATTTCACTTTCCAACCAGGCACATTTTATTTTGGGGGAGAATAGGAGCTAAGACCATTGAACCTATAAATTAACATTTTAAAACTGAAGCAATGCAAACTCTATGTGTTTTCAACTTTCAGAATCAAACTATGGACAAAAGAAAGGTCTAAATTATGATTATGAAATGGATTGAATGGGTCATAAATTTGATGATGCAAAAATAAAGATGGAGCTAGCAAAATTTCGAAAATGTAAGAGAAGAGATCAGAGGGATAATGCTGAGATCCTGCATCATGTCTAATGTCATGAAAAATCAAGAGTAACTATCTTAGCTACTGGGGCTGCTATAACAAAATGCAAAATATAGGCAGCTTATAAACATGAGAAAAGTATTTCTCACAGCTGTGAAAGCTGAGAAGTCCAGCTGGGTATCAGGAGATTTAGTGTCTGGTGAGAACTTAATCTTGGGTTCAAAGGTGATACTGTCTAGTTGAATTATCACATAATAGAAGAGGGAATCTTTGGTCTCCTCAGCCCATTATAAAGACACTAATCACATTTACAAGGGCCCCATCCTCATGATATAATCACCACCCAAAGGCCCAAACTCTTAATGCCACAATACTGGGGAATAGGTTTCAACAGGAATGTTGACAGGACATATTCAATCTATAACAATTGTCTACAGATCATAGAAATAAATAATAGGTTGTCTATTATTTACAATTATAAAAGCACCCACACTGAAACAACTAAAAAGGAAAAAACCATCAATGGAAAGAAGAGAAGGAATAAAAGAGATAGAGGAAAAGTAAACAAACCTTCATCTTACATTGTAGGAAATTAATCCTTAGTCTCTCAATAAATGAAAAAAAAAATAGTAACCATGTTATTTAAAGTTAATGTAAATGTAAAAAGAGGTTGCATCTGTGGGGCAGGAAGGACAGCGGAAAGCAGAACTATTTCTACTCACGTAGTTAAAGACTAAGTCCTATGGGACTCTATGTGCCATGAGTCCTGTGTAGACTTTAAGCTGATCACTACTTGTGTTTGCTGAGGAACCAAGCATTGACGGACTCTTAAACTGAAGAATTTGTCCTACTTTAGTGTTCTGAAAAGGCCTCAGAAAACATAATATTTACCTTGTGTCTCAAAACATGAGTAGAAGTTACCTCCTGTGAATCTGGCTTAATGGGGGATTTGTTTTGGGGGATTTTGTTTTGTTTTGTGGTCAAGTAGGAGGGGAGAAGAGAGAAGTGAAAGCCTTCAAGACAGAGACAACAAGGCCAGGTGTAGTGGCCAGGCCTATAGTCTCAGTGCTCTGTGAGGCTGAGGCAGGAGGATCACAAGTTTGAGTCCAGCCTGGTCAACTTACCAAATTAGTAAGGCTGTCTAAAAATAAAAAGGGGATTGGGTGAGTGGCTCAGTGTGAAGTCCCTGGATTCAATACACGGCGGGTGGGGGGATACCATGCACAAAATCAGAGAGTTTGAAAGATTTTCAAAAAGTCTGTTCTCCCTGAACAACGCCAAGGAATTGCATTAGTCAGCTAGGAGAAAATACCTGACACCAGCAAATTAAAAGAGAAGTTTATTTTTGGTTCATAGTTTTAGAGGACTCAGACCACAGTCAGTGGCTCTGAGGCAGAAACATCATGGCAAAAAGGCCTGCCATGGAGAAAAGCTGCTCACCTCATGGCAGCCAAGAAGG